GGCTCAGGCAATCCACTCACCTCAGCCTCCCAAAGGGGTGGGATTACAGGTTGAGCCACCAAGCCCGGCGACCTTGAAAAATTATAATACTATAAGAAAGAGATTGGCAGTAGTGGGAAACTGTCAGGGGAGGGTATGTGGGTTTGGCAGTTGAGGAAAACTGCTACGGGAGGAAGGGGCATACCTCATCAACAAGGGTACCTGCATAATCATTTGTATACCTAACCCTGAATTGTACCCAACATCTTTATAATAATAACAAAAAAAGAGTGGTACAAAGACTGCAGTACTCCATGTGTGACCTTTTTTCTTTTTCCTTTTCTTTTTTGTTTTTGTTTTTTGAGTTGGAGTCCCACTTTGTCACCCAGGCTGGAGTGCAGTGGCATGCTCACAGCCACCACAGCCTCTACCTGCTGGGCTCAGGCAATCCTTCGGCCTCAACCTTCAAAGTAGCTGGAACTACAGGTGCATGCTACCATGCCTGGCTACATGTGTGGTCTTACTGGTATCCAGTACAATGAAATTATCACTCACTGCTATAGATGTGTGCTATTGTTGTTGTAACATCATAAATTTATTTGGTTAGCTATATTTGTTAAAATCCTATCTGCCTTTCTACTCTTCCCTCACCTGTGGTTGCACAGTTGTGTTTTCAGAGTCAAGTAAAATTACAACATTTAGGGCCAAGAGTGGTGGCTCATGCCTGTAATCCTAGAACTTTGGGAAACTGAGCAGGAGGACGGCCATCCTAGGCAACATAGCAAGATTCCTTCTCTACAAAAAAGAGAAGAATCAAAAAACTAGCCGGGGTTGCGTCCCGCGCCTGTAGTCCCAGCTACGGGGGAGGCTGAGACAGTAGGATTGCCTGAGCTCGGAAGTTCGAGGCTGCGGTGAGCCGTGATCATGCTACTTCACTCCACCCTGGGCGACAAAGTGAGATCCTGACTGGGGAAAAAAAAAAAAAAGAAAAGCTATAATATCTAGGACGCAGTGCCTGCCTGACTTATGGCCTAATTCATTATCATCATTATTATCATTACTAGGTATGATCACTATAAAACAGAATTACCACTTCAAGTGAGACGTTGGCTCTCAGGCCCCACCTCCTTCAGCCTCAGAAATGAAAATAGTACCATGCTTCATATCTGCCTTTGGATTTTCAGACCCTAATAGCCCCACCTGAGTAAGCCCCGCCCCCGGAGCCGCAGAGCCCGGCACCTTGGTCCGCCCCGCCCACTCGGAGCCAAGGCTGGAACTAGCTCCAGCCTCTGATTGGCTGGCTGGGGCGCAGCTTGATGGCGTCGGGCTGGCGAGCCGCTGTCCCGGCGGCGGCACCCGGGCGAAGGCCGCTTGTGTGAGGGGTCGGCTGGCGCAAGCGTGCGGTGGCCTCGAGGAGTGGGAAGCGAAGGGAGGAGCCCTCCCTCCACGTCGCCATGAGCTTCCTGATCGACTCCAGCATCATGGTTACCTCCCAGGTGAGTCATCGCCTCCCCCCCCGACACCCTTCAGCCTTTCCCGAACCGCAGGGGCCTCAGCGCTGCGGGCCCGCTCGCGGTCTCGCGCGTCTCCCCCGCGGCCTGCGCCTGCCACCTCGGTAGCCAGAGCGCGGGGGAGAGTTCCCTCCGCCCCGGGTATCATGAGGCTGGCCCGCGGCCGTACGCGCCCCATCAGGCATCCATCCCCAGACCTTCCCGGCCACTCTCAGCTGGACTCAGCGCCGAGAGCCGCTGCCGCCAAAAAAGGGAACGGTTTTCAAAGCTCCCCGGACTCCAGACTGATCCGGAGAGAGCGTGGTTCCGGGCGCGGGGTTTGCGGCGCGCCAATCAGACTGGCCACTGGGAACACGTGGGAGCTGTTAGCTGTCAAATCCTGAATCCGGGTGCAGAGGTATTTGCCGCCTCAAAGTATAAGGTTATACCCACACGTCGAAGTTTAGCATTTCGTTTGTGCACTAGCACCTCAAACTCCATCTCTGCTTGCTAACCATCCTTTTCAGATCTTTTTCGGACCCTTGTTTCTTCTGGATTGGCCCCTTTCATTCAACAAAATTTGTGCAATCAACAAATATTTATTGACTATTATATAAAGCTCTGAGGATACCAACATATACAAGACACTGACTGTTTCTGCTCTCTAGAAGCTTCGTCTAGTGAGCCTTTTGCTTTTACCATGTTATTTGTTGTTACTCTGTTTTTTTTCCTAGCATTTATTATAGCACGGATACCATTTACGTGTTTGTTTATTCCTTTTTGAGATCCTGTCTTGTTCACAGCTGTATCCCCACCTCCAAGTGCAAGCAAGCATTCAATAAATAAGTGTTGACCAACAAAATTGTTAATATTTGTAGAAACTCAGACTACCTAATTATTGACCTTTCTCCCCTCATTGTTCCAATAATTTAAAGTATCTTTTTTTCTTACTTGTTCCTTCATTCAAATGAGAAATGGCAGATAATAGTTCCCTTTGGGGACTTAAAGTAAACTGAGTCTTTGTTCTTTGGTCCAGTTCTTGTATTGCTTCATCCTGATGCTTCTATCTGTAGAGCATTGCCTTTGTCTCTTGAAAAACTTTTACAATATTTAAGAAATTATGAAGCAAGGTAAAGCCATCCATAATCCTACCACCCCAATGTAATAACGTTTTCCATTTTTTAAAATATTTATCACCTTTTATATAACTTTCATAATTATGGTTTTTATTGGCTGCATAGTATTCAAATATAATGTACAAAAACATGAACATGTAACTCTCCTGCTTAAAACCTTTCTAAGCCTTCCTGTTGCCCTTGGTGACAACTCAGGGTTATTTTTAGCCCTAGTACCAATTAAAAATTATATACATGTATATGTGGGGGGGGAGAGGGAGAGAGAGAGTCTCTCTCTGTCAACCAGGTTGGAGTACAGTGACATGATCCCTGCTCACTGCAATGTCCACCTTCTGGGCTCAAGCAGTCCTCTCACCTCAGCCTTCTGAGTAGCTGAGACTACAGGTGCACACCACCACACATGGCTAATTTTTGTATTTTTTGTAGATACGAGGTCTCACTGTTACCCAAGCTGGTCTTGAACTCCCTGGCTCAACTGATCCTCCTACCTCAGCCTCCCAAAGTGCTGGAGTTGCAAGAGTTAGCCACCATGCCCAGCCAAGACAAATAATATTTAAGTACCATTTTTTCTCCCACTCAGAATAAAGATTCGAGTGTCAATAGACATTGACTTTACATTGCAGCCTCTAAGACTTGTAACATGGATGCAGTTGACAGGTTGAACCAAGAAAGTAGCTTTCTAAACTTTTATGCCTTATAACCACATGCTTTAACTTTCACACATACATTCACATGCAATATTAAATTTGATTATTAAACCTGCTCTTTACAAATGGAGAAGTGAGACCCATAGAATCCTTTCTATGGAATGCACATATGAAGATGTGTTCATATATTTATGTGACTGCTTTGTCATCATTTAGGTATTTGTAAAAATGCCACTTCAGAGAAGCTTTACTTGACATCCCACCCACGGCCAAAATACCCTTCCATTCTAGCCACTTTCCTTCTCATTTCCTGTCTTATTCTCTTCTTAGCGTTATCACTATTAGTTATTTATGTGTGTATGTGTTTGTTATCGTAGACTCCATGAAGTCCAAGATATCATCTTTCTTGTTCTTTCTTGTATTCCCCAGCATCTAGATCAGTTGCTGGCACATAGTAGACGCCTAATAAATATGTGTTTAATAAAAACATCTCTCTAGAGAGGTGTTGGAAGCAACACTCAAATCCCCCCACCCCCACCATTTTTCCTGTTTTGTATGAACTGAGAGGTTTAGAAATGAAATCTGAAATCAGATTCATAATGAAGCTTGCTCACCATGCCACAGGATGAGGTTCAAAGTCTTTGATATGGCTTGTAAGGTCTCCGGTAATGGGACCCTGACTCTAGCTCTTCAGCCTTGGTTCTCATCATTTCCTCACCTCACTTTAGATTCTAGACTTCTTTTTTACTTTTTACTTTTGAAGATGTGGGGTATAATCCAGGGTTAGGTATACAGATGTTCATTATGCAGATACCCTTGTTGATGAGGTGTGCCCCCTCTCTCCTGGCAGTTTCTCACTACTGCCAATCCCGCACTCCCGCCCCCCGCCCCGGCATTTTCCAGCTATCAATCCCTTTCTTATAGTATTATGATAATGGTTCAAGGTCGGCTTATGAGTGAGAGCATGTGGTACTCAGTTCTTTGTTTCTGTGATAGATCATTCAGTATTATAGACTCTAAGTCCATCCAAGTTGCTATGAAGTTCATAATTTTGTCTTTCTTTATCACTGAGTAATATTCCGTCATGTATATGTACTACATTTTTTTTAATCCAGTCCTCTTTATGTGGGCAGCAAGATTGGTTCCATGTTTTTGCTATTGTAAATAATGCTGCAGTAAACATGCATGTGCAGGTATCTTTTTCAAGAGTGATTTGAGTTCCTCTGAGTATATTTCCAGTAGGGGAATTGTGGGGTCATATGGAAGGTCAATTTTTAGATCTTTTAGGAAACGCCAAACTGTTTTCCACAGAGATTGTACTAGTTTACACTCCCACCAACAGTGTAAACATATTCCCTTTTCCCTGCGTCCTCTCCAGCATCTGTTGTTTTTTGAGTTATTGATGGTCACCATCCTGACTGGAGTTAGGTGGTATCTCAGTGTCGTTTTTATTTGCATTTCTTTGATGACTAGTGAGGCTGAGCATTTCTTCATGTATCCGTTGGCTGCTCTTATGTCTTCTTTTGAAAAGTGTCTATTTGTATCTTTTGCCCACTTTGTAATGGAGCTGTTTGTTTTTTTCTTTTTGGCACGTTTTGAGTTCCTTGTAGATCCTAGATGTTAGGCCTTTGTGAGACATACTGTTGGCGATTATTTCTTCCCAGTCTGTGGGCTGTCTCCCTGCTTTCTTGATGGTTTCTTTGGCTTTGCAGAAGCTTGTCAGTTTGCTAAGGTCCCAGTTGTCTGTCTTATCTCTTATGGCATGGGCACTTGGGGTTTTGATCAGGAATTGGTTGCCAGTCCCAATTTCCATAAGGGTATGTCCTGCATTTTCTAAGGTTCTTATAGTTTGAGGTTTTATATTTAGGTCTTTGATCCATTTAGAGTTTATTTTTGTGTACGGTGTAGGTAGAGGTCTTATTTTAATCTTCTGCATGTGATTAGATCCTAGACTTCTAAAACTTCTTTTAGAGTTGCCTAACCTGGCCATGCTGTGGTGCCTCAAGATTTCACACAGGCTGTTCTCTTTTTCTGGGCCTTTTCCTTCTATCCCTCCCATTCCTTCTCCTCGCTAACTCCTATTCAGCCTTCAGATCTCAATCTGAGATCCAAGAAACCTCCCCCACACTGAACTAGATGTCTCTATGTCTGTTGCCATAATACCCTTCACCCACTTCCCCTATAAGAACACTACCACGTTGTTTTGTAATTACTTGTCTTTCTCCTCCATAGATTATAAGCCCTGTGAGAGCAGCATCCATTCTCTCTTGTTCAACATTCTATCCCTAGGACCTGGCACATATTAGGCACTAATAAATATTTCTTAAGTGAATGAAGGGATAAAATAATGATCCAATAAAGGTATCTTTTCAAGTTAATTATTTAATAACTATCCTGCTAATGGCCCTGTCTTTTTTTTTTTTTTTTGTAATCTGTAGCTAACTTTTGTCCTAAAGGTCTCTTATATAAAAGCAAGTGTTATCTAACGCATATGTTTTGAGCCCGCTATACAGTCATAAGACTTATCAGTTCCAGAGTTCACTCTAAGTTCCGGGCTCTACTATCCACAGTTCTACAAATATTACTTTTCTTTTTTGATTAAGAAGCTATGCACTTATTTGCAAAGCTGTTTGCAATAACTTTTCTTTCTGCAGTCTTTTTGGATCCTCTATAATCTTGCCAGAATTCATATATATCTTGGACGTGATGAATTCAGTTACTGTATGTGGATGTGGGTGTGTGTATGTATATAGTTTAAAAGTCTTTTTCCGCTTTCTTTGTAAATGTCATAAGGAGTCCACAGTGAAACATTAAAGGTGTAAATCTGTTTCTTTTTTCTTCCATTTTCCATCTCATCATATAAACTTATAATTTTTGCTTGTATTCTCTTTCTTGTCTTAAGTCTCATTTCATGGTGATCTTGGTGACTTTTTAGAATTGTTTTTTGTTTTTTGTTTTTGAGTTGGAGTCTCACTCTGTCACCCAGATTGGAGTGCAGTGTCTGCTCCTGGTACCGCAGCCTCGACCTTCTGGGCTCCGGCGATCCATCCACCTCAGCCTTCCAAGCAGCTGGAACTACAGGCACGTGCTACCACGCTCGGCTAATTTTTTGATTTTTATTGTAGAGATGAGGTCTCGCCAAGTTGCCCAGGCGGGTCTCGAACCCACGGGCTCAGGCAGTCCACTCACGTCAGCCTCCCAAAGGTGCAGGATTACAGGCTGAGCCACCGAGCCCGGCTTAGAATTGTTTTTTATTTTTGGTAGAGACAGGGTCTAGCTTTGTTGCCCAGGTTAGTCTCAAAACTCCCGGGCTCAAGTGATCCTTCTACCTCCATCTCCCAAAGTGCTGGGATTACAGGCATGAGCTAGCATGCCTGGCCTAGTTATTTTTTTAAATCATTCATCTCCACCATACACACCACTCTCAGTCAAATTGCCCAGCTTCTCCACCTTCAGTCGTGGCTTCCTTCAGAAGTCATGTAAAAACATGGTCTCTTACTTCTTAATGTACATCTAACTCCACTGATAATTATAATCACCAAAGGATCTCCTGGATAGTCTAGGGGTATTTTCTCCTAATCTTATTTCCTTTCCCTTTCTACTTTATCTGGATGCTTGGATCCAGCTTACTTTCCCATATCCTCTTGTTCTTTTACGTTCATATAAAAGTCCATACTTGGATCAGTGCTACAGTTTGTCTACTACTAATACAGGGTCCTGAAGTCTGCTGTAGAAAAATAACTGTGTAGTTTGCTGACGCCATGGGTTTAATTCTCAGCTCATCGAATCATTCTTTTTCTAGACTTTTAGTCAGGTACTTTTTTCATTCCCCTTAAAATTCCTCTGAGTCTTTATCACTCTCCTCAAAGCCCCCTTTTCCATGCTTACCTCTCTTACTCTTAGCAGATGATCTCGACTCTGACTTAATCAACCAAAGTGAAGCCCAAAAGTGTGATCTCCTACCTTCCACATTTTGATCTAAAAGGTCATCTGTATTCACAACCATTCTTACCTCCTTTCCTCCCAGTACAGAAACTAGGGTGCCTCTACTCCTATTTTGGGCCATCCTCTCCACCTATGCCTTTGATCTTGGAGGAGCTTATTTTGAGTGGTTAAAAGCACAGTTCATGAAGTTAGTCGCAACACAGACTTCAAGTTGAATCCTGATTCTGACACTCACTGTAAATTGATTGGTATCTCTAAACCTCAACTTTCTGTATAAAAATGGGATAGTAGAACCTAACTTATTGGGTTTTTATGATTTTATGAGATTCTAATGGTATGTACTACTTAGCCTAGAATATTATAAATGATGAATAAAAGTTAGTAATGGTAACAATAAATTAATAACATAATCAGCTTTTCTTGTAGTATTTCATCTGTTCCTTCTCATCTTTAGCTCCTCATTTGACTGCTTTCTTCACCATGGCCTATAAACTTTGCCTTTGCTCCACATTCCTCTCTATGCTATTATTTAATGTCTTCTTTCTTCCACATTCTTGGCTCTCCCTGGAGTAATTTGTGTTTACAGTCTCCACGGTGTTCCCTCCCATTCACCACCACCACCACCACCCCATCTACTACATTCTGGTTCCTGCCTCTGCCTCACTATTCAAACTGTTTTCCTTAAGGTCTTCATTAACCTGGAAGTTATCAAATCCTTTGAACATTTTCAGTCCCTGTTTTGTCCTTCTCTGCTTCATTTAATCTTTCTTTAATCCTAGTCTCATAGTTTTAGGACATCATACTCTCTTGATTCTATTATGTCTCAACTGTTCCTTCTTTGTCTCCTTCCTGGTTTCCTCTTCCCATCCCTATCCTCTAGAGTTTTTTCCTTGACTCATTGCACTCCTCACTCTACATATTATTCTTGGGTGGTCTCATGTTCTTTGGTGGTTTCAACTCATAGGTGTCTGAGACCTGCCTTCATAATCTGTTGTTTTTTCAAATGCTTGCTGGATAGCCCTCAGGCCTTGAGTATGTTTGAAAATGAACACATCTTCTTCCCCATCCTCCATCCCATTCCTCAACCTCTTCTTCCTCCAGTATTCTTCGCATAAATTGAATAAGTTGGTCTGAGATTTGTGGGTTATTGTTAAGCTGATTAACAATGTATAAGTTGGGTAGACTCACTCTTCATCCTATATTCTAAACTAGTCATCCTTGACTGCTCCCTGATGATTTTACCTTCTAAATAGTTCTCAAGTCTGTTGTCTCTCTTCTGTTACCAGTGTCTGAATTCAGTCCTCTATCATTTCTCATCTGAACTCCTGCAACAAATTCCTTAATGTTTCTCTTCCTACAGTGTTGTTTCTTTCAAATGAGCCTTCCACACAGCCACCATACTGCTCTATGTAAAACAAATCAGGCCATGTCATTTTGCTCTTTAAACAACCCCAATCACCTACAGACTATAATCCAAGCTCCTTAGTGTATCTTTAGGGCTCTCAGTGATTGGTCCTCTGCTCCTCCTCTCTGGCCTCCTTTTTAACCTCGTCCTTTGAATTTTGTCTCCCAGCAGCACCTAACTGTGATCCCCAGTGTATATTGGGATTCACTCTGTGCCTTGACTCACGCTCTTTGCTGTGTGGAAGGCCCTGTTCTCCTACCCCTACCACCTCAGTCTTCTTCATGTCATCCTTTGAGAGAGTGATTTTTAATATTTTAGGTGTGGTAGAAACCTTTGAGTGTGTGATAAATACCTTAGAGCCGCTGTAGAAAAATCTACATAATCCCAAAATTTGCACACGATATCAGGTTTTAACCCCAAATTAAAACCTCCTTCAGACCAGTTATTATCTTCTCCAGAAAATCTGTCCTAATCCCCTACAGATTGATTTGATCTCCCTCTTTCATATTATTTTACAATATCATGTCCATATTGCTATCTTTACACATCTGTATTATATTATGATTATGTATGCCTTTACTACTGTATTGTAAGCGCCTTGAGAATAGTGACTATCATACTCATCTTTGTATCCCTAGCACCTAGCATGGCACATAGGAGTTATTACAAAACTTTTGAGATAGAATGTTGCTAAAGAACAAACCATCTCTCACTATAGATTTAGCTATTTGGCAGACATTTATGGAGAACCTGCTATGTGCCAGGCATTGTGTGCTGTGTGCTAAGGATACAAAATTAATAAAACAGACATGATCCTTGTCCTCATAGGGCTTATAATCTAATGTTTAAAAAAAATATTTAAATCAGGCATTGCAAAATTGTGTGGTAAGTGCTTTAATGAGGGAAGAACAGGGTAGAAAAGGAATATACATGAGCAATTTAGTTTTATTTTAGGAGGGCAGGTAAGGCAGAGAAAGTAAAATATAAAGTAAGACCTATGAGATAACTAGGAGAAGGCTGGAGAGCAGCTCCCATCAGAGGATGACATCTACAGAGATCTTGATATGAAAGAGCATGTGTCTAAAGAGCCAAAGGAAGTTCCATGTGGCTGAAAATATGAGTTTGGTAGGCAGAGGGGCATGGCAAGAGGCTAGAGTAGTCTACCTTAAACTGTGCTCAAGAATTTACACTTGCTCAGTAAAGTAGTCAGTAGGAAGGCATAAAAAAAAAAAATTCCATCCATAAAATTCCTAGCCAGTATAAGAAAAAAAGAGTTGTGTCAGAATGTGTGTATGTGTGACTATGTATAGAAGGTTCTATTTACTAGTGAAAAGCAAACCCGCTTTGTCAGCTGTCATGTGGCTGCTGTCCCTGATGCCAGTCTGAAACAAAACTGACAAAAGAGGGATCCTGCAATCTCTTAGCCTTACAATGGGATGAAAACCACTTTATATAGACTAGGCAGGATGCGGGGTGGTGGTGGAGGGGGGACTAAGAAAACTCTGAAGGAAACACATACAAAAAATATTAGGCTTTCTATGATTCCCCTATTCTTTGTGTCAAGCCCCTTCTCCAGAATTTTGTAATTTTAAAAAAATACTTGCAAACATGGATCACCTAAAGAAGCAAGTCTCACTGACTTCTTTTCTATTTGCTAGCATCTCTGTCACATAAAATGATTATTATAAGATTATAGGAAAATGTATACTTCTATTTTTGTGTAACTTAAAACATGTTCTATAGCATGGACAATTTCAAAAAATCTAACAGCATTTAAACATCTACTTCCAATGTTATGAGCTTTAATAAGTAGATTTTATAAAAGTGGATCTCATCTTTAATCTCTGAAATAAGTTAACTGTCTAGTTAGCAGACCTTTTATTATAAATAGTCTCTGTAAGGCATTTCTCAAAAGAAGATGAATATTGACATTCTATCTTCTTTCTCCTCCAGATACTTTTTTTTGGATTTGGGTGGCTTTTCTTCATGCGTCAATTGTTTAAGGACTATGAGGTGAGAAGAAATCATTGTGGTATGCTTATCCTATGTGAGATTGCTTTAAAATGTGATAAGAAAAATGCCTTTATTAAAGAAAGATCATGTTCATTTCCAAGATAGGAACCTTTTGTCAAATAAGTACTATATAACTATTAAATGATAGAATATGTTTAGGCTTAGTTGATTTAAAAGAGAAAAAACTACTCAGGAGATTGAGGCTGAGAATCACTTGAGCCAAGGAGTTCGAAGTTACAGTGAGCTATAATCACACCACTGCACTCCAGCCTGGGCGACAGAGCAATGCCCTGTCTTAAATGATAGATGGATGGATGGATGGATAGATGGATGGACGGATGGGATGGACGGATGGGCAGGCAAGTCACATATAGCCCAGAAGCTAGAAGCACAGAATGTCATGCCTTAGTCATATCAGATATACACCAATAGCAGATAGTTAATTTATGACGTCTCATAAGTGTTCCCTTTCATTTGTCTATCTAGCCCTGAATTACCAATCTTACATTCTAAGTTAATGCTAAAATTCCAAGGCTGGTCTGGTTCTTACCTTAAGCTTTGGATTCAGAAAATCACTACCCTTGACTAGACATTTCCTAATTAATTCTCCTCATTTAGTAGTAAGATCACTGGTTAAGGACTACTTTGGGGTCATTTCTAGGGTGTTCTGGTTGTTATCTGAAAGATCCCAAGATTCTGGAGATTCTGTTCTGACCAGTACTTTAAGGTCTATCGGGAGATTCTAGAACTGACATCTGCAGAGTATTAAAGACCGCTTTTAGCATTAGCCATTATATACAAATCTATCATTTTCTTGTCACTGTGAATCAGGAATTCTAAGTGCTACTGCTGACTATCTACTTCACTTAATTTTCTTGTGCTTTGAATTCTCTATCCACAGGAGAATGTTGGTAATAATAACTCAAGATTCAGAAATGCTACCTACTTTAATCTATTTCTTGAGCTCTAGGCAAGTTGCAGTTGTGGTCCTATTTCCAATGAATTGAGAATTTCTTCAGAATTATTTTTCTGACTTATAACAGAAAGAAAATTATCAATTTAATTTTCAAACAAGGAAATGACCTCCAGTCTCTATTTGACTTTTAACAGGTGCGTCAGTATGTTGTGCAGGTGATCTTCTCTGTGACTTTTGCATTTTCTTGCACCATGTTTGAGCTCATCATCTTTGAAATCTTAGGAGTATTGAATAGCAGGTGAGTACAAGTACTAAATAACTCTCCTCTTGAAGACTTCTATGCTACTCTGTGTTTTTTGGGGGGATTTTTTTGGGTTTTTTTTTAGTTGGAGTCTCACTCTGTCGCCCAGACTGGAGTGCAGTGGCACGCTCCTGAGCACCGCAGCCTTAACCTGCTGGGTTCCGGTGATCCTTCTCCCTCAGCCTTCCAAGTAGCCAGAATTACAGGCGCGCGCTACCATGCCCGGCTAATTTTTTTTTTTTTACTTATTGTAGAGATGAGGTCTCACCAAGTTGCCAGGCAGGTCTCAAACCCGCGGGCTCAGGCAATCCACTCACCTCAGCCTCCCGAAGCACAGGATTACAGGCTGAGCCACCGAGCCCAGCTTACTCTGTTTATAGTGGAAGAGTAACCTGGATCTCAGCTGAAAAGAGCCACCATGTAGACAGTTTAATCTCAATAACTGCAATGATCACAGCAAATATGGGTCACAGCCACATAGTAATTACTTTGACAAAAATTATGAGATACCAGGGGAAAAAAAAGTCTGACCATTAGCTCTGAAGAACTCATTGAGAGTAAGGTTGTGGGGCCCAGGCCCAGATCCAGGCCCAGGCTTTACTCCTAGAAGCTTTATTTTTGTCAGACTGCTTGCTGACTGAATCCCACATTGTTCTGCTGATTGAAAATCTCTGCCTGAAAAGATCAGAGCTCCTCAAAACTATTTAAACATTTCTCAAAAGACTGAACTTCAGTTCTTTCTTAGTTATCTCTATTGATTTTACAGGCATGGTTAAGTTTGATTGAACTTAAAGTGTTTTTTTTTAACTTTTTTTTTTAAGAGATAGGGTCTGGTTCTGTCACCAGGCTGGAGTACAGTGGTGCCTTCATAGATCACTGCAGCCTTGAACTCCTGGGCTCAAGCAATCTTCCCAAGTAGCTGGGACTACAGCTGTGTACCACCATGCCTGGCTAATTTATTTTACTTAGAGATGGAATCTCACTATGTTGCCCAGGCTGGTCTTGAACTTTTGTCTCAAGCAGTCCTCCTTCATTGACTTCCCAAAAAGTTGGGATTACAAGTATGAGCCACCACATCTGGCCTAAAACATTTTTTTTAAAGTAACTCTTTATCCCCCTCCAAACAACAGATCTGTTAGTTTATTACAGAATCTATCCAAAATATTGTTTGCTTGTTAAACTGCAAGCTTTAGTATTTTTTAGACCAGTGTTTATATGTGGAGTTCATTAGTATGCTATGTAGACTTCTCTTGTATTTTTTTTTTTTTATCACCACATGGAAGCATCTTTTAAAAATAAAGTGTTCTAGCCAGGCTCGGTGGCTCAGCCTGTAATCCCGTGCCTTTGGGAGGCTGAGGTGAGTGGATTGCCTGAACCC